TGGAAACATCAAATGGATGCTGGAAAATACGAAGAGTTACAGCAACATTTCAGAGTGAGAGTTTCTGCGTGCTATCAAGAAACATTTGCCGGAAATTTGGGAACGAAATACTCAAAGAATTTTACAGTGATTGGAAGTATTGGATACAATTTGGACACACTGCTCCAGGTTGCTAAAGATTTGAATCTGTCCATTGTGGTGTGCGAGCGTTTGCACGATCGATGTGATCATTTTCAAACGCGTTATGTGGATACAAAATCATTGGTTGTGGAGAATTGCTATTCAAAACCTTGGCTTGTGCAAGAGAGTGGTGATGGAGTGCAAACTGCAGAAAAATCAGACATTGTGACTCATCGTGAGACTTGTGTCTATGAAATTGGGCAATCGACACAGAATGTTGAGAATGAGTGGATGTATGAATTGGCCGATCAAGAAAAGAAAGGCAAGTGGAATTTGTACAATCAAGCAGTGCAATACTATTTTGCAAAAGACTATGAGATGGCTCTCCAATTGTTGGTTCGATTTAAGGAGAGTCTGCAACATGATGATCATGGCGGTGAGGAGATGGATTTACCAACGGAGAGATTGATTCAGAAATGTCAAAGGATGGCGCATGCTCCAAAAACAATCACAGAATAATGAAGTGGAGTGCCTCATTGAATCATGAGGGAGATGGGTTTGTGAGAAAGGTTTGAGAGTATATTGAGGTGAATAAAAAAAGTCCACTGAGTGGCGGAACCTTAATTTTTGTTTTGATAGCAAAAGACGCGAATGGGATCAATCCAACAAATCGAGAAATTAAACAAGAGCCGTTTTGTAATCACTCCGTTCCCAAATTGGCCCATTGAAACAAGAAGTTGGGTGGGCCATTCCGTCTCCGCCGACTTACGGTTAAAACAGGTGATGAAAAGAACGTTGGATTTATTTTTAATGCTTTTCAAACCGGATCTTCAATCTCGCATGACAATTGGCAAGACAAAATCACCTCCTGTTGTAAACTTGAAACTCCGGAGTTGGGTCTTTTTTTATTCTT